ATCAGGACATGATTTCTAAACTGCCACCACTCCCTTATTTTCAGGCCCACCTACACAAATCTTATATCAAAACGTTCAGCTATCCCTGCTGCCACTAAACATGTCAACGGCTAAGCCATAGTCCTGATAGTTTTCACAATATAATCATTTGTTTGCAACTAACGCCGTCCATTGACATTCATTGAAACTTCACTCTGCAAAGCTCAAATTTGAAGTGCAATTTCTAAACTGCGACTGTGCCTTCAATTTTAATACTTCAGAGACATACTATGCATCAAAATGTAGGTCTGGGTCTTGTGATTCTCACAATATAAAGCTCTTCGCTGTAGGAGTTATAGTTTTTAAGATACGACCGTTTGAAGATGGCAACCACCAAAATACTCTGACCTGTGTCAAGCTGCAGCAGCAAGTGATGTCATAGACAGGGCCTTTTGAACACCTGCTAATGTTTTTATAAATGTATGGTTTAATGTAACTGTGCAACAACGTTGCAATTAAATGTGCTATATAAATGATAACAGTTACTCCGCCCACTCCGGTTGTAGACTACTGGTGGAGGCAAGAACACTTCACACAATTTCCCCAGAAATTGTAGCTTTTCTAGTTCTTATTCTTATTATAGCCAAATTTGCCACCCTAACTCCTCCCACAGTTTTTACACTACATAGACAAGAACACTTAATAAATAAAAATAAAATCAGTAAAGCTTACATTTGTCAGTCAGCATGCCTCATGTTGCTGAAATTAGAGTCACTTCCAAGTAAAGACCATTTAAAAACAAAAACCATCTAAAGTCATACCCTTCTGTGTCATCGGGGATTTCAACATTCCCATTAACCCACCCTTGACTTCAGTAGCCTCCAACTCCTTTCTATTACTCCCCTCCCCCCCCCAGTGGGCTAATACACCCTCATATGTAGCTGGCAATACCACGACACCATTGTTTTTTCTAATGCATGCACAATCTCTAAGCTCCATAACACTTAATTTCCTCTCAGATTACCACCTCTTATCATTTGTTCTTGCGAGCCCCCTCATCCAACATCTTCAGCCTAACCCCCCTCAACTCAGAAGGAACCTAAACTCTATTGACCTCCAGCAACTTTTAGCTGATGTCAACACTGAGCTCTCACCTAGCTCTACCTTTTCATGTCTCTTTCTAGCTATCTCCTTGCTACCCTTCCCTTTGCCCTGGACAGTGCAATCCAGCTCCAAACATGCAACTCAAGAAAGACGTGCCTCCAACCATATAACACCAAGTCGACTGGCTATCTACAGCGATACTCCCGTTCAGCTAAAGGCTGCGAGGAAGTCCCACACTTTGTCAGACTTTCTCCATTATAAAAACTCATCTTGCATTTGTACAGTGCAGCCCTCATCCTTGCTAAACAATCCTATTTTTCCTCTATCATTAGTCTAATCCCAGACATCTCTTTGATATCTTCAAGTCTCTCCTTCACCAACCTCAAGCCGCCCCCCCCAAACAAATCTTTCAACCAATAGCTTTGCATGCGACTTCACCGACAAGATTGAACAGTTAAGGAAAGAATTCTCCCCCCTTTGCCCTCTCTCACAACCACACCTGGACCGTACCTTCCTTACCCTTCAGGCCTTCTCCCTAGCCACTGAACAGTAAATGCACTACTCCTCTCATCCTACCACCTGTCTGCTTGATTTTGCACTATCCCACCTTATCAGATCACTCTCCCCTTATCTTGTGCCATACTTAACGCACATCCTTAACTGCTCCTTTTTTTTCCTGATGTTGTTCCTACTCCCCTTAAACTGCTATTGCCATACCCTAAAAAAAGCCACCCCTAGACCCATCCTTCCCTTTCAACTACTATCCCATACCCCTGCTCCCTTTTTCCTCAAAGCTCGTAGAAAGACTAATCTTTACTCGTTTGACTTGCTTCCTCAACTCGAATTCCCTCCTCGACCCTCTTCAATATGGCTTCAGTTTCCTCCACTCTGAGACTGCTCTGACTAAAGTCACAAATGACCTAATCACAGCTAAATCAAAAGGCCACTATGCCATACTAATTCTTCTTGACCTCACTACCGCTTTTGACACGGTTGAGCATGTCATCCTTCTTCAAGCTCTTCAATTCCTCGGTCTTTCTGTCACTGTACTCTCGTGGTTCTAATCCTATCTCTCCCAACGCGCGTTTAGAGTCTCCTTTTCCAATGACATCTCCTCCCCTTGTCTGGTCTCAGTTGGAGTCCCCAAGGATCTGTTCTGGGTCCACATCTGTTCTTTCCTTCTACTGCCTCTCTCGGCAAGCTCAATAATTAATTTGGATTCCGTTACCACCTGCATGCCGATGACAACCTAGATATATCTCTCCTCCCCTAACCTCTTCACCGGTTTTCTACAACGTGTCATCGCTTGCCTTTCTTCAATCCCTGCTTGTATGTCCTCTTGCGTTCTGAAACTTAATCTCTCTAAAACAGAGCTTCTTATTTTTTTTCTCCTCATAATACTGAAACTCCTCATTCGCTTTCCTTGCAAGTCGATGGTACTTGCATCAGTCCATCTTTGCAAGCTCGTAGTCTTGGTGTTATCGTTGATCCAGGCCTCTCATTTGCACCTCATCTCCAGTATGTTGCCAAAACCTGTCGATTCCACCTAAAAACATTGCCCGTATCAGCCAGTTTTCTTATGCAAGATTCTGCAAAGGAGCTTGTTCATGCTCTGGTAATCTCTCGTACTGATTACTGTAATTCTCTTCTATTTGGTCTCCACAGAAGCCAAACTGCTAAAATCTGTAATGAATGCTGCCACCAGGCTGATCTCTCACCTGTCGATCCTTACACCGACTTCCTGTATCGTATAGGTGTCAATTCAAAATATTAACCTTTACCTATAAAGCCCTAAACAATTCTAGCCCCTGTTACATTTCTTCACGGATTTATAGTTATGCCACTTCTCAGTCTCTCTGCTCTGCCGGTGACCACCTCCTGTCCGCTGCTCGTACCCTTACTGCTAACTCGCGCTTGAAGATCCTCTCACGGTCGTCTCCTTTGCTTTGAAACTTCCTGCCTACTCTCATCAGACTCTCCCCTATTCTTCAATCATTTAAAGGACAACTCTAGGCACCCAGACCACTTCAGCTTAATGAAGTGGTCTGGGTGCCAGGTCCTTCTAGGGTTAACCCATTTTTTCATAAACATAGCAGTTTCATAGAAACTGCTATGTTTATGAATGGGTTAAGCCTTCCCCCTAATCCTCTAGTGGCTGTCTCATTGACAGCCACTAGAGGCGCTTGCGTGCTTCTCACTGTGATTTTCACAGTGAGAGCACGCCAGCGTCCATAGGAAAGCATTATGAATGCTTTCCTATGTGACCGGCTGAATGCGCGCGCAGCCAGCCGATGGGGCGGATTGGAGGAGGAGAGGAGGCAGAGAGCTCTCCGCCCAGCGCTGGAAAAAGGTACGTTTTACCCCTTTTCCCCTTTCCAGAGCCGGGCGGGAGGGGGTCCCTGAAGGTGGGGGCACCCTCGGGGCACTATAGTGCCAGGAAAACTAGTATGTTTTCCTGGCACTATAGTGGTCCTTTAAGAAGTCCCTCAAAACCCATTTGTTCAGAAATGCTTACGGTCTCCCATAGTAACATCTATGTCAGATATCAGTCTCTTGCTCTCTCCTAAAGAGGCATACTCCACTTTCATCTCCAGTTCTGCTACTTTTCCACCTTGTTTGTTTACTGTCCCCTTTGCTTTCCCATTGTGTTTTTTACCCCACCTCCTCTAGACTACCTATTGTTCCTATATCATTTTGTAAATGTCTCATTTATTGTTAAGACCACTATAGGCACCCAGACCACTCCAGCTTAGTGAAGTGTTCTGGGTGCCAGGTCCAGATAGGATTAACCCCTTTTTTTTTAATTTTTTTTTTTTTTTTTTATAACATAGCAGTTTCAGAGAAAGTGTTATGTTTACACTGAGGGTTAATCCAGCCTCTAAAGCCTCTAGTAGCTGTCTCATTGACAGCCGCTAGAGGCGCTTGCGTGCTTCTCACTGTGAAAAATTGCCAGCGAGAAGACGCCAGCGTCCATAGGAAAAAACATTGTGAATGCTTTCCTATGAGACTGGCTGAATGCGTGCTGCGCATGCGCATTCAGCCGATGACGTCGCTAGGAAGAAGGAGAGGAGGAGGAGGAAAGCTCCCCGCCTGGCGCTGGAGAAAGGTCAGATGTTAACCCTTTCCTCTCCCCAGAGCCTGGCAGGAGGGGGACCCTGAGGGTGGGGGCACCCTCAAGGCACTATAGTGCCAGGAAAACAAGCATGTTTTCCTGGCACTATAGTGGTCCTTTAAATCTCCCCCCATCCAGATTATTGTAAAGTGCTGCTGAATAAGTTGGTGTATAAATACCAATAATAAATAGAAAAGCTACAATTTCTGGGGAAATTGTGTGAAGTGTTCTTGCCTCCACCAGTAGTCTACAACCAGAGTGGGCGGAGTAACTGGGTGGAGTGGCTTGAGTAACTGTTGTGTGGTTGGAGTAACTGTGGAAAGGTTGGAGTGTGGTTCACTCACTCTACAGCAAGGGCAGAGAAAAGCTTTCAAATCCCTCGAACATTCCACCAACTGCCAACAGGAACTAATAGATTTCAAATAGGGCAGAGAAGAGCGGTTAAAAACAAACTGCTCCAAATTGCTCACTTCACTGGCGGTTGCCATCTTCAAACGGTCGTATTTTAAAATTTATACAGCAAAGATCTTTATATTGTGAGAATCACAAGACCCAGACCTACATTTTGATGCATAGTATGTCTCTGAAGTATTAAAAATGAAGGCACAGTCGCAGTTTAGAAATTGCCCTTCAAATTTGAGGTGGCTAGAGTGGAGTTTAAATGAATGTCAATGGACAGCGTGAGTTGCAAACAAATGGTCATATTGTGAAAACTATCAGGACTACGGCTTAGCCGTTTACATGTTTAGTGGCAGCAGGGATAGCTGAACGTTTTGATATAAGATTTGTGTAGGTGGGCTTGAAAATGAGGGAGTGGTGGCAGTTTAGAAATCATGTCCTGATTTTTCAGCTTTTGCCAGCTCCCACTCTAGCTTTGCCATTCATTCCTATGGGACAAATTTCACCACAAGAACGACGATATTCCGTGAACCATTCGGCGAAACGTTCCACAAAGTAATAGCAATCCGATCGGGAACAATCTGCACGTTTTGGTAAATTTTTGTCTATCTAGTGTAAAAACTGTGGGAGGAGTTAGGGTGGCAAATTTGGCTATAATAAGAATAAGAAGTTTGTTTGTTTTTTATTTTTTTTTTAGAAGTGGCAATGCTTGTATTTGTCAACTTGCAGAGACCACACTTAGTACTAAAACCACTGGCCCAGTACAACGTACACTATTAAATGGCCATTTTACAACCAAGAAAACACAATGCCTTCTACTGACTTGGTTATGGCATTGCGGTTTCTATTTCCTGTGGCATTGCGGTTTCTATTTCCTATTTCCTTTGTTTCAGCAGGATATTTTTTTCTTTTTCTTTTGATGTTGCCAACTTACAAAATGTAGTAGATTGTACTTTTTCTTAAAAATCACAATGTTTCCAGAAAATAACTGGGGTCTCTAATAAGTAAATCTACCCTGATGACTACAACTGAATAGTAATTTGGTGTCTTGCATTAAAGGACCACTATAGGCACCAGACCACTTCCACTCAATGAAGTGGTCTGGGTGCCAGGTCCATCTAGGGTTAACCCTGCAGCTGTAAACATAGCAGTTTCAGAGAAACTGCTATGTTTACACTAGGGTTAATGCAGCCTGTAGTGGCTGTCTCATTGACAGCCACTAGAGGCGCTACCACACTTCTCACTTTGAAAATCAGTGAGAAGACGCTGGACGTCCATAGGAAAGCATTGGGAAATGCTTTCCTATGGACTGTTTGAATGCGCGTGCGGCTCTTGCCGCGCATTCGGCGCTGACGTCAGCAGAGGGAGGAGAGTTCCCCAGCGCCGAGGGAGCCCGGCGCTGGAGAAAGGTAAGTGTTTAACCCCTTCAGCCCAGCGGGAGTGGGACCCTGAGGGTGGGGGGGACCTAAAGACCCTAAAGTGCCAGGAAAACAAGTTTGTTTTCCTGGTACTATAGTGGTCCTTTAATAAGGACGTGGGTCTTAAGGTTTTATAAGGATAGTTAGTTATTTCTGATTTGGACAGCAGTAAGGCTGCAACTTCTGTATCTAGAGTAAGGATGCAGGTAGATCATTGTATGGCAGCAAAACTAATGGGTCCTTATATACATTTTTAATATTTGTCCTATTTCTTACAGAATTTCTCTGACACGGAATGGTGAGAAATTACAAGCTCAGGATCACCTTATAGTCCAGGAATACATTGACAAGCCCTTTCTAATGGAAGGTTACAAGTTTGACTTGCGTATCTACATATTGGTTACCTCTTGTGATCCGCTGAGAATATTTATTTACAACGATGGGCTCGTTCGGATGGGCACAGAGTCCTACAACCAACCCTCAGAGTCTAACTTAGTGAGTAATTTTGCTTTAGTACACCATGCAGAATGAGTACAGAGTCCATGTACAACGTTTCTGTAGTCTTTGTGCAGTTTTCACCCATCATAAAACTGTTCATTGAGGTAGTGATGGTCACATTGTTCAACGTATGTCCGCATGAACAGGCCTGTTTGAGCTGGGACTTTGTTTCTCCCAAAAACATTCAAGATTAAGCACTGAATTTTGCACAGAAATTAATTGAAAAGGACTGTTTTTGAACCAAGTTTGCCATTCTCATATTTACCAAAAGAAATCCAGTCAAAGATTATTAATGTCAACCAAATGAACGGAATGCCATCGGTACCATTTTGTATCTGGTTTAAAATGATAGTTGTGTTTTTTGTTTGTTTTTTTTAAACGTATATCCTGTATAAAATCCCTTCCTACCCCCTTATTTACCTAAGCCGAATGCATACTAGATAATACCTAGATGCAGGCAAATCCTGTAAATAAATTCACTTGCAAACTGAATGCAAATCTATTGAAATCTGAACTGTTTGCCCGCTGGCCACACCAGCAGCTAGGGGGTAAATAGTTTTGTTTTCAGCACTCGGTTCCGGTTTTCAGCAGTTCCGTTACTTCCGGACAGTCTGAAATCAGGTGGATATTCATGTCCTTTCAAGTGCTGCTTTGCAAATGCTGGACATTGAAAAACCTTATGAACATTGTCTGGAGTTTGCTGTCAGAGTACGCCTGGATGCATCTACCATTTTATTGTTCTTTAAACCCGTGGCATTCTGACTTTAGGGAATAAACCCCTCTGAACAAAGCAGGCTTCTGTTGGTTCTTGATACCTTGATTGTGTCACTATCCTTTAAATACTTGTAGACATACAGCTGTTTTTTGAATTCATACATTGATAGTAATGTTTCCCTGGACCCGTTCATTTGCAATTACTACAAGTTGGTCAAAACCGTGCACAAACTGATGCACTAGACTTAAAGTCGTTTAGATTCTAGCTCCCCCTTGTGGACTGCTATGGCATTGTCTTCAGGTGTTCTATTTTTTGTAAGCACCAAGGTTAAAAAATAGCAGCCTGCAATTGAATTCTTGGAAGCATGTGTCCTTGGTTACATTGAAAGGATCATTTTCTAAACTGCTCTAAAACGCGTTTCTTTTACAATTAATCAATAACATTTAACATATAAAAGTAAGTAATGATGTTTGTAAGTGAGGCAATGATGCATTCGAAGGCACTGTTTAATGTTAAAAGGTTAATTCTGCTTTTAACACTATTTTTCCTTACTATAGAGTAAGCATTGTGACATTATTTTGTTATACCTACAGTTGTCATCAAGTTCTCTGTTTTGTCTGCTTTATCCGTCAAATCAAGGCTTCTGCGTTCTGCATTTATTATTCTTCCGCTTGACATACCCAGTGTAAATAAACCGGTCGCTGTAATTGGCTGCGATGTGCCTAATTAGTCAGTTAGCTGTAGTTTGTGTTTTTAAGGGAGTACATGGCAAAACCCATGCATAGCTGTGTGTAGGAGGAAAATATGTGAACGCCACAGCAGAAATCTGTTCAAACAAGAATCCCAGGTCTTTAAAATGTTTTCAGTTATTCTTAGAGTCATTTACTAATGTGCAAATTGTCTGGAATTTAAAGTCCATTTTCATATTTTACACCAAAATGATGTAATGGATAACATTTCCACATTGGCTATGTTCTCAATTTTTCTATTTTGGCCTAAAATTTCAAATTCTATTTGAAATCCCAACCGCTCTCACTTTTTTATGTAATCCCAATATGGACCCGTTCACTATGCCTAGAGAGCCATCAGCCAGATCGCATTGGTGAGGCAGAAGAAGGCCAACATTTTGGTCATACACTATCATTTATGCAGAGGAGATAGATCTGACATTTTGGAAAAGGGTCTCCAAAACATTCACCCATGAGATGAAAATTCTCAAAGTCTACAAATCTGCTCTCAAATACATTTTTCAACAAATTTATTTACTAAGAGTTTATATTCTTCTCTGGATATTCTGGTGTAATTGTGTTGCAGTATAGAAAATTGGGATGGTTCTACTTGTTTAAATTGTGACTCAAATCAAGTAAGTTTTTTGCCTTGAAGGCTAATGCATGGGTAGCTAGTCAAAAGATAAATTCATTTTAATTCATTATTTAGTTTACATAGGTGTCCAGTTACGACTACTAGAAATTCTAAATCACATTAAAAACTTATTTTTTTTCAGTATTATTGTTGCTTTTCGTTTATTTTAGAAAAACAATGACATCTCCTAATAGTTCTGCACCCTTTTCAATGCATCTGCATTAATTGAGCCAGCAATTTTCTGTGTAATAAACCAGATCACTGTGTTGAGAGTCAATGTTTTCTAAGATATTTTTGAATTGCCCATGATTCATACCATGGACTTGAATGATGTTAATTGCATTGGCCAACATTCTCGCCAATCTCTTAGATTTCAGATCCTTTGTGCACAGCTGCTGTTGATGTATGGTACAGTGGCAATTAATCTATTCCATGTCACTGGTACCCTGATGCTCTATTAGCAAATATACAATTTTTTTTCCATTCTTGATATGAACCAGCCATTGATGGAGCCCCATCACTGGCAATACCCAGTGTCTCCAGATCTTACTCATACTGGGTTATTCAGTACAGTGAAAATCTAAAGTGAATTGAAGTATCTTTAAACTGATTTGAAAGAAAAGTTTCACTCCTCTCTGGACCTGATAAACCTTATAAACCTTCACACAGACATTCAGCTCAGTAGGCAGTCTCTTAAATATATTCTTTGGCCTGCAAGTAACTGCTGCAGTTATTCATTTTTTTGTGTGGTCCTTCCCCTTCCAACTTTGAAAACTCAGAATGCTTTGTTTCATAGTGTCGTTTTGATGTTGTATTCTTTGCAGGCAGACACTGTGAAGTTACCTGCGAGGCATGTTACAATACCATTGTTGTTCAAAATACAGTACTTGATTGTCCACGAATCTGGGAATTTCAGATTCTCCGCTTTAACCTTTTCTTTTTAAGCACACTGGTTCATATGAAATACTGAGAAGTGTGCTTGAAATGTTTCACACGTGCACACATATCCTTTCAATGCCTCTAGTTCTTTGAAAAAACTGAGTGACACATTAGTTTCTACACAATGAAGAAAGTCTTCAGGCGCTACAATCAATCCCTCAACCTTAATTTTCTTCTTATATAACATATGTATAACATTCAGAATGACAGGGGGGAGCGTATTGGGGACTTTAACTTGTGGCTTGGTGAATGGTGTCAGGAACAAGGATTTGGCTTTGTTTATCATGATAACTCTATTTGGAAAAGAATTGAACTGTACAAAAAGATGGTTTGCATCTTTCTCAAAAGGGAACCAGTTCTCAATGAGCAGTTAAGAGGTTTTCCTAGGCGGTATTTAAGCTAGGAGGGAGGGATCCAAAGGGTGATAAAACATCAACCCAATTGCCCCCTAAAACTAGGACAGAAAGTGTCTGTAGCAAGTGTGTTAAAAAATAATAAACTTAGATTCATGTCTTCAAATGTTCGCAGTTTAGCGAATAAGATCCATGAATAATGGCAACTAAAAATGTAGATTTAGTGATTGTTACGGAGACATGGTATAATGAGAAAAATGACTGGGATATAGCAATACCAGGGTACTCTTTTTATATAGAGAAGACCGGAAAGGGGGAGGTTGTCCCTCTATGTGAAGGATAGCATAAAATCTAACCTAATAAAAGTTAGTGAGGCGAACATAGAGTCCGTTTGGGTTACGTTACAATTTGGTCATCACACAGGAACTCGTGTAGGTGTGATTTATGGGCCCGTTGGATAATCTACTAGTTGAGGAGTTAGCTAAAATGACATTGAAGGGGGAACCGATCATCATGGGTGATTTTTAATCTTTTTGATCTGAAGTAAAAAAACAATGCCAGGAGCACACATATTCTAAACTACCTATTGGGTTTATCTCGAAAACAAGTCGTTGAGGAGCCAAATTGTAAGATTTAATGTTAACAAATCTCAATTTGTTATAAGACATTACTGTAGATGAAAGCTTTGGATCTAGTGATCACCAGTCGGTGTGGTTTAATGGAGCCCTATAGGGTCAGGAACACAAACATGTACTCCTGACCCTATAGGGTTAAAACCACCATCTAGCCACCCTGGTCCCCTCATGCCTCCATAAATATAGAAATCTTACTTGTTTTCAAGTCTGGAGCTGCTTGCATTGTCCCTGTTTCCTTTAGACCTGCCCACTGCCTGCTGACATCATCAGAAGTGGTAGACTGATCCAATCACAATGATTCCCCATAGGAATGGCTGAGACTGACAGAGGCAGATCAGGGGCAGAGCCAGCATGATTCAAACACCGCCACGGCCAATCAGCTATGACCGCTAATTGAATCAATGAATCTCTATGAGGAAAGTTCAGTGTCTGCATGCAGAGGGTGGAGACACTGAAAGTTGGATGCATGTTAGGCAGCCATGACCCAGGAAAGATCTCTAACAGCCATCTAAGGAGTGGCCAGTGAAGCTATCACTAGGCTGTAATGTAAACACTGCATTTTCTTTGAAAAGACCATGTTTACAGCAAAAAGCCTGAAGGTAATGATTCTACTCACCAGAACACATTCAATAAGCTGTAGTTGTTTTAGTGACTATAGTGTCCCTTTACCATAAGTAAAATGTGAAGTGACTGAGTCACACCACACAAAAACAAAAGTTTTAGATTTTAGAAAAACAGACTTTTCTAAAATTAGAATATGCAGCATAAAGGACTCATTATCAGACTTAAGTGTTTAAATTGAGTACAGGAGAAATGGGATTCTTTAAATTTGCACTTTAGAAGGCAACAGAAAATCGCACTATGCTTGTTTGTAAGCGTAAACAATTTAAGAAACCACTGTGGTACTCTGCAAAAGTGGCCAAAACAGTAAAAAAACTAAAACTTAGCATTTTATTAATAAAAAAAACAAACAAACAAAAAAAACAAAGTGAGGGAGACGGACAACTCTATAATATTAGACAGAAAGAGGCAAAGCTAGTTATAAGAGCTTCCAAAGCACACACAGAAGAGAAAATAACCCAATCAGTAAAAAAGGTGGATAAAACACTTTTAGATACATAAATGAGAAAAGGAAAGTAAAACAAGGATTAGTTAGACTACAAGCAATAGCAGGAAGGTATGTAGAAGAGGATGAAGGTCTAGCTGTTCAGTTTTAACAGATGTTATGTTATTTATATAGTGACAACAAATTCCGCAGCGCTTTACAGTGGGTGGACGAACATACATGTAGTTGTAAACAGACAAGTTGGACACACAGGAATAGAGGGGTTGAGGGCCCTGCTCAATGAGCTTACATAGTTATAGTTACATAGCTGAAAAGAGACTTGCGTCCATAAAGTTCAGCCTTCCTCACATATGTTTTTGCTGTTGATCCAAAAGAAGGCAAAAAACAGTCTGAAGCACTTCCAATTTTGCAACAAACTAGGAAAAAATTCCTTCTTGACCCCAAAATAGCAGTCAGATGTCTCCTTGGATCAAGCAGCTATTCCCCCACTAATTAGAAATGATATCCCTGTATGTTATGTTTTTGCAAGTATTTATCCAATTGCAGTTTAAACATCTGGATAGACTCTGACAAAACCACCTCTTAAGGGAGAGAATTCCATATCCTTATTGCGCTTACTGTAAAAAAACAAAACTTTTCTTTGCCTTAGATTAAATCTCCTTTCTTTCAGCCTAAATGTGTGACCTCGTGTCCTATGTATAGCCCCGTTTATGAATAGATTTCCAGATAAAGGTTTGTACTGGCCCCGAATATATTTGTATAATGTTATCATATCCCTTCTCAGACGCCTTTTTTCCAAACTAAACAGATTTAAATTTTTTAACCTTTCTTCGCAACTAAAATGCTCTATTCCTTTTATCAATTTTGTAGCTCGTCTCTGCACTTTTTCTAGTGCCAGAGGGTGCTAGAGGGAGTGGGGTAATGTGACACAAAAGGTAAGAATAGCATTAGACTAATGACCGTTGCAAGAGAGGAATGAGTCGGGAGCTATTGACAGTTTAATTGATACGCTTTTATGAAGAAGTGGGGTTTTAAAGATTTTTTTTTTTTGAAGGAGTGGAGACTGGGTGAGCATCTCACGGAGCAGGGAAGTGCATTCCACAGTAACGGTGCAGCCCTCGAGAAGTCTTGAAGGCGAGCATCAGAGGTGGGAGTACGAACAGAAGATAGACGTAAGACTTCAGCTGAGCGCAAGGGCCTAGACAGGATATACTTGTGTATTAGGGAGGATAGATAGGTGGGAGCAGCATTATGTAGAGATTTGAAAGCAAGAATCAGAATTTTAAATTGAGCCCTATATCTTACAGGAAGCCAATGTAGAGACTGACAGAAGGGTGAGGTGTGGGCGGTACGGGCAGACAGGAAGATGAGCCTCGCCGCCGCATTCAATATGGACTGTAACGGCGCAAGTTGGGAGCATGTAAGACCACTGAGAAGCGGATTAACTAGGGTTGGATGCAATGTTTTTGAGATGGAAACGACAGTATTTGGTGACAGACTGAACATGAGGCATGAAGGAGAGGTCGGAGTCAAAGAACACCTAGGCAGCGAGCCTGCGTGGTGGAGCTGATGATAGCACCATTGACTTGAAGGGAGACAAACACAGGAGTAGCAACACTTGAGGGAGGAAAGACCAGAATTTCAGTTTTGGTCAAGTTGAGTTTTAGAAGTGGGCAGCCATCCAGTTACAAATAGCAGAGAGGCAGTCAGAGACAGTATTTATGAGGGACAGGGAGAGATCAGGAGAGGACAGGTGGATTTGCGTGTCATCCGCATAGAAATGATATTGGAAACCAAAGGAGCTAATGAGTTTACCAAGGGAGGCAGTATAGATAGATAACAGTAGGGGACCAAGGACTGAACCCTGGGGAACACCAACAGAGAGGAGTTGGAGAGAAGAAGCAGAGCCAGAGAAAGAAACACTGAAAAACTAGCAAAACCGGTAACCGATTTATTTAACCAATCATTGTTAAGGGGATTAGTCCCAGAAGGTTGGAAGTTAGCGAATGGTAACAAGAAAGTTAGTAGGAGTCGGGCAACTATAGGTCAGAAATCACATGGATTTGAAAATTAGAGACAACATGGGTTTACGTCGGTAAGATCATGCCAAACTAATCTTATTGATTTTTTTTTTTGGGGGGGGGGTTGTAACTACAATAATAGATCAGGGTGGTGCAGTAGACATTGCTTACCTAGATTTCAGTAAGGCTTTTGGCACTGCCCAGCATAGAAGGCTTATCAATAAACTGCAATCTTTGAGTTTGGATTTTTGTGCAGTGGTACAGTATAGATATTGTATTTTATGATAAGAGGAGCAATTTCTTTTGCATTGTAATACGGGAAAAACAGCACAATGCATTACAGTTGTCGTCACATATAAAGGTAACAGTAGAATCACATTAAGTATGTGCATTTAAAGCTTAACTGACATAAGTTAGGTATGGTACAGGCTGTAGTGTCGATAGTTAGGTGACCCAACTTACTCTTTGTGTTAGTAAGCTCCATCACCCCGGAGGGCATATTAATAACTAAGCAGCTGAGCAATTAAAATTAAAGAAAAGAAAACTACTTCAACTGAGAACGATTAAAACAATGGTGTAGATAACACAGGTAAATGGGTACATGTATGTCTCTGTTGTTGCCTCTTCCCGGAGCCGTAGAGAACCAGCAGGTGTAAAGATCGCCACATTATCCACGTCCCAGCTATGAGTAGATTTGCTGCTCTTTGAGGCAGTGGCAGTTGTAAGTCCCAAAGACTTTAGAAAAGCATCCTGTTCCACCGTGAGCACCCTTGGTGAGCCCCACCTATATGGGATCCCTGCTTTTCGCAAAGGGGTTGTCACCTCTTTCATGAATGCCCGCCATTGCAGCATTGCTCTACTGAGGTCTTGGAAAAATCTAAGTTCATGTTGTTTGAACAGAAATGGTGATTAACTTTTTGTGGTGGCCAGGAAAGCCTCTTTGTCAGACCGTGCCCTGAAACTCAGAATGACATCTCTGGGAACCAAGGTTTTGTTGTTGGAGTTCCCTAGCAAGCGTTAAATTCCCTCCAGCAATACGTTCTTGGCCCGCTTGGGTGGTAGTGTGGCGGACAGTAGCCGTCTGATATATTGTGGCAGCTCGCCTGCGTCAATTGAGTCAGGGATCCTCCTGATTTTCATATTGCGTTGTCGTGTAACGTCTTCAAGCTGTCCCACATTAACACTGAGCGCTGTGTATGCGTTAGAGACCTCTTGGAGCTGGTGTGTAGTGGCGTTTTGCTGGGCGCCCAGGCTCTCTGAATACTGTCCTCAGTGGCATTGATTCCTGCTAGACAGCGTGTTCAGATCTGCTTTTAGCACCGCCATTTCAGAGGAGAAGAAGGTTTTGAGGTCTGTTGTCATCGTAATGATGTCCTATTTAGTAGCCCACTGAGGTTCAGGTTTCCGTTTAAACAGAGCTTTCCTGCCTTGAGGCTGTGGCCGGAGCTCTGCTGGTTCCCCTGCTTCATCCTCTGATACTGATGTGGAGCCATGAGGTGAGTTCGGCATCAGGTCATCCATTTTGGGCCTTCCTGATTGTGAAAGTAGAAGCCCGATATCTTGGGTATGCTCTCCCCCCGAGCCTCGGGACTTTCGGGAGTGTTTCCCATTATCTCTTGTGTCGAATGGTGTCTCAGTGGGGGTGAAAGCAGCTGTGATGCGGGTCTAATTGTCGAATATCTCCTCTGCCTTGCTGGAGCTCAGGAGACATGCCAGGTCTCGTTATCTTTAGGGTACCTCAAAGATCTGTACTTGGACCAATTCTCTTCAATATTTTTATTTGTGATATTGCAGAATGTCTTTTTTAGGTAAACTAGAAAAATAAGAGCTTTGGCAACTGACATTTAATGTGGATCCGTTCAAGATAATACACCTTTTGGTGTAAAAACCCAAGGGCAGAGTATAGAGTATTTGATACAGGCCTAACCTCAAAATTGGAGAAAAGGGATTTAGGTGTAATTAGTTCAGATGATTTAAAGGTAGGCAGACAATGTACTAGAGCAACAGGAAATGCTAGCAGAATGCTTGGTTGTATAGGGAGAGGTATTAGCAGAAGAAGTGCTCATGCCATTGTACAGAACATTGGTGAAACCTCGCTTGGAGTATTGTACGCAGTACTGGAGACCGTATCTCCAGAAGGATATTGATACTTTGGAGAGAGTTCAGAGAAGGGCTACTACACTAGTTCTTGGATTGCAGGATAAAATTTACAAGGAAAGTTTAACATGTATAGCTTGGAGGAAAGACGAGACTGGGTAATATCATAGAAACATTTAAATATATGAAGGGAATCAACATAGTAAAGGAGGAGAGTATATTTAAAAGAAGAGAAACTACCACAACCAGAGGACATAGTCTTAAATTAGAGGGGCAAAGGTTTAAAAATATTTTCAGGATTTATTACTTTACTGAGAGGGTAGTGGACGCATGGAATAACCTTCCAGCTGAAGAGGTTACACATTGAGGGAGTTTAAACATATGTGGGATAGGCATAAGGCTATCGTAGATATCAGATAAGGCAGAGGACTAATGAAAGTATTTTGAAAATTGGGCAGACTAGGTGGCTCGAATGGTTCTCATCTGCCGTAACATTCATGTTTCTATATGGCACAACGCGGGATGGAGAAAGCTGCAGAGAGCAAAGAAAAAAGATGCCTTCTTTGCGTTCCAGCACCGCAAACCATCCATGTAACTAACCCAAGATGGCGCAAACAAAGAGCAAGAAGGATAGATATGTCATCCAGATCACCTGTTCAGTCACGCAAGCCATATTGCAAACTCTTCCGGACAATATGTCCACAATACCATTTTCTACAAGAAATAGGATCCCGCACATGCCACCTGGATGGAGAAATTCAGAGCCCCACAACAGCTTGGCAGACTGGGTCAAACAGCTGAAAGCCTAGTTGAAGTGTGAGAACAAGATTATATACATGGAAAATGTCTTGAAAAAATACCCTTTGTATGCGGGGTATTCCAGAAGCAGTGGATCCTTTACTTACCTTCCTTAACAACTTACCTTCATGACTTATTCCAGTCTCTGGCCCCTGACATTCCATCTGACCTGCTGATGGTAGACAGAGCACACATGGTAATGAAAATGAGACTCCTACTGAGCATGGTGCCCAGAGATATGCTGGTGCGAATCCACCACCATCATGTGAAGGAGTCACTGCTGAGTTTCAGCAGGGCCAAGAGAGAACTTCTGGATGCTTACAAAGAAGTGGTGTATGCAGGCTAGTCTGCAGCAACCTTGAGTCGATGTAAGGCCTTCAGAGAGACAACAAAGGTACTGCTCTCCCATCAGATGTCCTACAGGTGGGAATTTCCTGTGAGTCTCCTAGTATTTAAAAACTGAGAAATTGTGCCTATATAATTTCCGGCGAAGGGAGCCACTTGCTCCGTTTTTGGGGAACAGTGTCACCTCCTATGTGTCCATCGCTGTGTTCCAATTTACAACCAGAATGGAAACTGTCCCTGATGTACTGGTTTGAGCCTTTTGATGCAGAGAGGTTATGTTTTATTTTTGTTTGCTAGGTTAACTAATGTTTAGCATTGTGATTGTATGTCTACACTTGCTTATTAAGAATCCCCCACATAGGTGATCTATCGCTAAGCTCATGACATAAGAGTGTACATAACTAGGCCCCATGATCTAGACAACGATCAGTTGTATAGACAAAAAGGTAACACGAGAACATGCCGACATAAATTCCATAAATTAATAGACCTACTCCTATATAATCTAAGCAGGAGTCACCAAATAAGCAATGTATCAATACCCCATTGACAAGTAAGGGAGTGTTTGGGAAAAATGCAATAAGTGGGTGCATGCATAAACAACACATATAAAACTAGTTGGTAGGAGCAAAGCTAATTTAGCCATTAGGCGATGAAGGTGGCCATCTAGGGTCTGTGCGAAGACAGGGGCCTGGAACGCTGGCCCTGGATGTGAAGGGGCTCTCATTGGGCTGGTGTTTTATGAAAATCTATTTCCCTGTGGAAATCAGTTTCCCTCCGTGATCGTTGAAATAGAATTTCATATAGCACTGACAAGGAGATGAAAAGATCCCTCTGCTTGGCCATCACTTTGCTGTTTTTTCCCTCTAGGATGTATAAGGATTTTATAAGGATTCTTTGCAAAAAGGTTGGTGTTTGTGGGTTAGCAGCAGCTGTTATACAAGTTTGGAAACCAGTCAGAAAACAGTCTCTAAGTAGCGGTTAAATGAACACTATAGGGTTTGGAATACAAATGTGTATTCCTAACGCTATTGTGCCATGTTGGGCGTTTAGGGGACCGGCTCCCACCTGCAGGGAGGAAAAAAAGAGTATGCATGCATTGCAAAACACCACTCTGCACCAATCAGATGGCCTCTGTGAGGACATCTGTTAGAAAGAGCGGAGGGGGGAACGGGACAGGACACCTGGCACTCAGACCATTTCATATTTCTTACATTATGACTTTTCAGTGTAGGTATCTCAGATAGAGGAGGGGATCTGGGGTTATTGTAATTATGTAAAATAAAAAAAAATATATACACTTAGAATATTTCTCTATATTGTTTGCAAAACAATTCTCGAACAATTATTAGATCACATTTCTGTATTGTCCAAACTTGTGCACTAGTACCTTTTGCAGTTGGAAACATCTTATAATTAAGCACAGATCCTAATTGTGCCACAACTGTGACATTTTCTTCCATTGTGCTGAGACTTGTGCTGTGAGGTTGTGTTTCTCATACATACAACACAGTTACAGGATTATTAATTAACTAAACTGAGAATTCAAAGTGAATTTCAAATTTAAGGCCAAAGTAGCTGAACTGGAGGCAGAACTAAATTGGAGAAAGTTCAGATATTTTGTGCTCAAATTTGAAATTCAGTTTATAATCTTGTACTCGTTGTATTCCGTTACCTTTGTGTCAGTAGAAACAAGCTTTTAACTTTAAAGCTACATTTTATAGCTACAAAATGAGAAAACCGCGAACATGCTTTAAACTGGATACTTAGAAAACATTCCAGCCAAACCCACTCTGTAGTTTATTGTAATTAAACACTGTAAATTAGGCTTAAAGAGGCACTGCTTCACCCTGCAGCCAGATCCTTCGATAAACAATATAATTATGAAAAATGATTGAAATTCTCAATCAAACGTGAACCTTCTCAAAGTGAATTTTGATACTTTTCAAGGTAAGGAAGAGAGTTGGTAAAGTACAAACATATGGATTTCTGTAACGAGCTCCAGAGCCTGCGCTTGATTGATCCTTTCTACAACACAGTCTCAATATCTCAATTAACCCTTCGTTTAACAGGATGAGCACCGACTGCTCTTAAAATCGGCTTATGAACTCTTTCTAGAACGGAGCAGTAAAAAAACAACCAAAAAAAAAAGTAACCATTCGTACATTGCATTAAAACCTTCCTATAACAAAGTAAGACCTTATACTCTTTCTCATTATACTTCTCTATCATTCTGAAGATCCATTTAATGTTTGAGACAATACTTTAGGTGAGAGATTGAAAATGTGCTCTCACTGTCAGGGTTATTAAAGGACCACTATAGTGCTGGGAAAACAAACTAGTTTTCCTGGCACTATATAGTCCCTAGGTCCCCCCCATCCTCAGGGCCCCCCTCCCGCTGGGTTAAAACCCCTTCAGCCACTTACCTTAATCTAGCGCCGGGCTCTTTCGGCGCTGGTGACCTCTCGTCCCCCTCTGACGTCAGCTCCCGAGTGGAGCAGAATGCTCATGCGCGTCCAGAGCCTCAATACTCAATTCCTATGGACGTTCTACGTCGCGGAAGCTCCTCTAGCGGCTGTCAGGAAGACCACCACTAGAGGCTGGATTAACCCTGCAATGTAAACATAGCAGTTTCTCTGAAACTGCTATGTTTACAGCTGCAGGGTTAAAACTTGAGGGACCTGGCACCCAGACCACTTCATTGAGCTGAAGTGGTCTGGGTTACTATAGTGGTCCTTTAATTTTTAAGGTAAAAATTGCTGAGCCGGAAAAATTCTCAAAGTCCACTATGCTTTTAGTTCAGCTACTCATGCCTTCAATTTGAAGTTCATTTTGAATTCTCACTTTAGTAACTAACACTGTATTTCTTTATATAAAATCTATTATATAATATTTTAGGTTGGTTATTGGCATTTTGTAGATATTACCTGTGATCTATTAAGATCTATCTCTACCTCTCTGTGTCCTTCATGAGGTCTGCTTGCTAGAATTCGACACGTACAGTGACAAATCTGTATAGTACCACTCATACCTCGTGGTGTGCCATTGGAGATTTGTTTAGTATTACTGAACACAATACTCATAGTGCCCGGCTATAGCTTTTATAAAATCATGGGACACAATACATTTACTTTTTTTTAATTTTTGTAACTTGAGGAATGTTAAGTCTTGAAATTTTAACCATCTAGGGTAATATTTAAAGTTGTCCACTAGGTGGGGTGCTAATACCATGAAACAAGGTTTTGATCTCCAATTGATTTATTTTTCACATTTAGTGTTTAAATTGAATTGTGCATCTCTCTTTTAATGTGGGAATGTAACTTTCTGACAGAAGTAGGCCAAGTACATGATGGTTCCAGATTTTGGTAACCGAGAGGAACAAAGAGCTGAATTGTATATCAGTGATGTGGCGGTCAGTAAGATTTCACGTGCAAGACCAATTAAATAAGAGCCAAATGTTAGCAATCCATTACAGACAATATTTCACAAATCATGGTCCTGAGAAGAACACTCCATGGTCAGAACATACCAGATGTCAAACAGGCCTAGTATAACTATTGTGCAAGCATTGTTATCCTGTTGGTTCCTCGACCTGTATGAAAGCTAAATAGCAGTGTTACTAAGATGCCTCAACACCTTATCTCTAACTGGTGGCTGGTGTGGTATAGAATCCTGGCTGAGAACATTGATATGACGTGAGCAGTGCCATGCCCCTTCTAAAACATGCAGCTTCTGCATTTGTAGCAAATGGAAAAATACAAAAGTCTATAGTATGTAGTTTCTTTTAAAGCAATGTATAAGAAAAAAAAACTGGTACGTTCTGTATAACTGCAACATTCAAATATTTAGAGGATCCAAATATAGAATCTTGGGTAGATGTCCTCTTGGGAGGCTTTCCTTAACAGACACCTGTGTAACATACTGTGTCACACATTCCAAAAGGCAAATTAACATTCTCATCCCAAATTGGACAGATGGAAAGGTATAATTTGTGAAAACATTTTATCTTGAAATGACACTCTTGACAGTCGGATTTAAAATTAATAACTGATACCCTGTACACATTGCTCTTCCAAATGGATAATTGTTGGTAGATGTAACGCCCCTATTTATAACTATTGCCAAAAAGGAATACACACATTTCACGAGAATCACAAATTACGTTGATGATCCATTTAGATTCAGATTTGCGTAAACTTAATCTATATACTGTAAAGGTGAAAAAACAAAAAACAAGTGTGTGTGTGTGTGTGTGTGTGTGTGTGTGTGTGTGTGTGTATATATATATATATATATATATATATATATATATATATATATGTATGTATATATGTATATTATTTATATAGTGCCAACTTATTCCGCAGCACGTTACACTTCCAAAATTCTGATATTTGACAACAAGTAATTAACATGCAGAAAAAAACCTAGACAAGAGATGGAGAAGGCCCTGCTCAAATGAACTTACAATGTGAGGAAGAGATAAAGACACAAGAGAAATAACAGCATGTCAGAGGGGATAGGGATTGATAAGATAGCGGTGTTGAAATAAGCCGGTGAAAGTGGTGTGTGGAGTGGTGTGTAGAAGAACCGAACAGTGGCAGGAGATAGAGTGAGCTGGGCTGTGGAAGCGAGGGAAGTGATGAGGGCAGTGGAATGAGAGAAATGTCACACAGGAAGATGTAAGATTTCCTAGAGGTGTGTTTTCAGTGACCTCTTAAAAGACTGAAGACTAGGGGAGTCTCTGATGGTATGGAGAGGAACGGGGCAGCCCTTAAAAAATCCTGCAGATGAGAGTTGGCAATTCAGGACCAAGCAGATGTCAAGAGAAGGTCATTTGCAGAGCAAAGGGAAAGAAAATGGGAATATTTGTTGAATAAAGATGAAATGTAGTGAGGAATGGAGTTGGTGAGGGCTTCGTAAGGCAGTGTATCAGGAGTGCGAGATCCAACACACAGAGTATAACCTCGAAGTCCTTAAAGTCACCAGGCTTTACTTAAAACCAGACAGATAATGGTCCGAGACAAACCAGGTACAGGGACTCCAGAACCAGGAGTATGAGAGACAATAGCCAAGTCAAGGATTAAAGAGAGGAGAATAGACAGGATAAACCAACATCAAAACCAGAGAGACAGTACTAATATGTGTGTGTGTGTATGTATATATATATATATATATATATATATATATATATATATATATATATATATCTCTCTCAACAAGCTATTGAGACCAAAAAGAACCCAAAAGGGCAGAGAACAAAGCCCGGACCACCTGTTTATATTGTGGCTCATTATGTAAATAGCCATGCCCCCAAAACTCAAAACATGAGGGGTCTCCAAAATTGATGCAAAGTGACAACATCAATGCACATTCATTGCCTCATAAACAGCTTCCGGTGTCCTGACTGCTGTGGAAATCGGGCGAGGCATGAGGGTTAAGGCTGCCTGCAGACCTCCGGGAGGGCATTCCTAAGAAGTCCGTAGGCAAGGTACCTTGACTAGTGTTGGCAGTTTGAATTGGATCCTCATGGGCACAGGAAGCCAATGTTATGATTGGCAAAGGGCTGAGGTTTGGGAGTAGCGGTTGATCAGTAAGATGAGCTTGGCATTACAGACCAAAAAGGAGCGATGCTGTTATTTGGAAGGCCGATGAGTAGTGAATTGCAATAGTCAAGTCTGGAAATCAGTGCATGAACAAGTGCCTTAGTTGTATCTATGTTGGACAAGGGCGAATGCGAGAAATATTTTTAAAGTGAAAGCTACAGGATTTAGAGACAGACTGGATGCTAGGAGACCTTAAGGGGTTTGGATAAAAGTGGTCCCATTGACTTGCAGGGAGATTGATGGGGATGACTATTTAATGGGAGAAAGCTGAGGAGTTCAATTTTAGAAAGATTAAATTTGAAAAAAAACAGGAAGATATCCAGTTAGCGATGGCAGTTTGTGACCTGTTGCAGGAGAGCGTTCAGGGGGGGAGAGATAAATCTGAGTATTGTCAGCATATGGATGGTACTGAAATCCAAAGGAGTTAATAAGGTTACCGGCAGTGTAGATGGAGAGAGGATCAAGAACAGAGTCTTGGGGAACACCAACTGAGACAGACAACGGGAAGGAGAAGTTTAGAAACCTTTAGCTCTGAGACAGGGAAAGGAGATAAGAGGAAGAAGGTATAGAATGGAAACAGAGTTTTGGAGGGGAAGAGGAAAGAGAGAAGACTACATTTCTTATGTCTTTCTTGTCCGTAAAGGAACAAGCAAAGTCAATAGCTGAGAGGTTACTTATCGGCGAGGTCACGGTGAGGCAAAGTAGTTATTAAAGGTTTGAAAGAGGCGTTTGGGATCACGAGAGTAGGTGGAGATGAAAGAGGTAAAATACTCTTGCTTGGCAAGGGTGAGGGACAGAAGTAGAGGGACAGAAGTATAGGAACTCGGCATGAATTTAAATGTAGAAAGTCCGGTGTGATGCAATACTTTCTTCAACAACGTTCTGCAATACGGGAGCATTGCTGAAGATAGTGGGTGAGCTTGCTGTGCCAGTGTTGAAGGTAAGGCTCATGCCTCGAGTGAGCTTTGATTAGTGCAGCCATATCTAGAGCAG